TCAAAACATGAGAATATGGAAAGCGCGTTAAAGCTTTGGGAGGACTTGAATATTGGCTCTCATGGAAAAGAGTCTAATAATTTTTGTAATAGCTGGATACATTTATGGCTCTATGGTAGGAGATTTAGACTAAAAACTTACTCAAAATTGCCCAAAAAAAAAAAGAAAAAAGAACCTACATTTATGGCATACATTTAATCACTAAACACTAATAGGATGATACAATTGTTCTAAACAAAGATTACAAATCCAGTTCTGGCATCCAATAAAACTGAAAAATCTCATTTATGAGAACAATCTTTTGGCATAAAGGAAATAATCTTCTTCACTAAGTCATATCCCACCTTGACATTCATATGTGCCACATTGCCAAGTATAGCAACAGAATTACTCGGGAGAAAAGCTAAGCAAACTGAAGTATTAGAAGTTCTGTAAAATAAATTCACAGGCTCTAACTTCAAATCTGCACCCTGGAAATGGAATGTGACTGCAGGCACCTTTGTTTCATTCACAGAGGCATAGCATAACTCAAAATTGCTGAATGGATCTGGCACGGTTTTGTTTCCCATTGCACCACCTACAGCTGATCTTAATCCAACGTATAAATCAAGAGGAAGAAACGTTATTGTAGTTCCTGAGTCTATGATAATATTTCCTTGTACTTGAGGCATACTCGAAAGGTAATTAGGGAACTTCAACGTTGTATTTGCAACACTAATTCCTTGGAGATTTATCATATAGTAAGGTGATCCAAGTTCTGTAAAAAATGGAGTTGAAACCACCCCTTTACTATAAGTTATGGACTGATCATTTCCAAAACTGATTTCACCAGGCTTTGCACTAGTGTCGAATGATAGCCCTAAGCAATAGGAAAACTTACCACTAAATGTAGGATATAATTGTGAAATAAGTGAAAATTCCCCGTAGCCTAGACCAACTAGGCCACTCCCCAGATAAGGGAAAGTCGTACCAACATTTTCATATCCACATCCAAAACCAAAGCGTTGGAAGGACCTAATTTTGTTGGAATCACCCAAGCTGATAGTATCAAATGCAAGAACACCTCTAGTATACGATCGATCGTTGTACACAATACCATAAGGACAGGGCATGCTAGGTTTGATTGAATTTGCTCCGCAGGTATTATTATTTGCGTAGTATAAATGACAAGTGTCCGAGCTACAAGGGACAACCCTAAATGTTGAAGATTTTTTGGGACTAAAGGGACGAAATTTTTCCTTGTAACAGTTGATACAAGGTGAACATTGGACCCAAGAAAGAACGCTACCTGTATCAACAACGGCTAGTGTCTCTTCTGGTGGAGTACCATATGATATTCTCATGAGGTACTCCCCACCATTTGGCAGAACTCCTGAAGAATCTAAAGTAAGAGCACGATCAAATGAACGCTGGACAGCATATTTGGCACGCTGGAAAGGAGTCAAGGAAGGATTGTGCAAGGGAGACTCTGGTGAATCTCGGTGGATGAGGTCAAGAATCAAGCCATTTCTATCTGCTTGAATGGTGAGAAACATATAAAAGGATGCAAGAAACAATGGAAGATAAGTAGGGGAAGGACAAAGAAGGATAAATCTTTTTGACATGGTTTTGGATGCTAATACTTTATGAGTTGGTTATACGAGGAGAAAGCAGCTTAATGCCATATTTATAGTGAGGAAAAATCTTGAGTAATTATACAGTGTTAATGTTCTTTGCAATTAAGCAGGAGAGAATACATGAACACGTAATCTGATTGGGTTCTGCCAAATTTGGAGCGAAATCTCAACTAGCATGCCTTAAATGCATGATGAATAAATTCAATTCTAATAATTCTAGTCAATTTTGATTCTTGAGTAGGAAAATTAATGTTGATAAATAACGGATCAGTGTTTAAGATTAAAGAAGCTGGTAGACTGGGTTAAAAATAAGGGCAAATTACACTTTACTGCCTGTAGTTTAGTGTTTTTATACATAACGCTCCTATAGTTTCAAAAGCTATACATAACCCCCTAATTGTTTGGATTAAAGCGTCAAAGTAACGTAATTTGCAATCTATAACGAAATCACCTAAAATATCAAAAACACATCTATGTAAAGTTGAAAATTATTTATTAACCACGAGGGAATTATATGTTTTGAAAACTATAAGAGGTTTATATGGTAAAATATAAAACCATATGGAGTTAGTGTGTCATGTATATTATGTTTATATATTTTGGTTACTTCACCCATTTTAATTTTTAAATAAGGGTAATTTCGATATTTTCAAATGTTCCGTTACGAATGATCATTTCCGTCCCTTTGATACTTTAATCTAAATTATGATGGGGTTATGTATAACTTTTGAAATCATAGAGGGATTATGTACAAAAATACTAAATCATAGGGGGATAAAATGTAATTTGTCCTAAAAATAAACAGTTTGTCTAATGGGTGCCCTATGAACACTCTTTAGATATATTTCAAGTGTTAGATTTTTAGAAATATAAGATTAATTTAGGAAAGCATATAAATGTAAGGGAATTAATTAGGGAAGATGTATAAATACAAGACAATGTAGTAATTGTTAGTGTGTGTGTATATATATGATAGATAGAGTGGAATGTAAGTGTGTTAATGATAGAAAAACCCAAAAATAAATTATATCTGAACTTGTATGAGTTTTTACTTTTTAGAAATGTTGTATGAAGGTTTGTCCATATTTCGTTTTTGGATTTTTCACCCAAGTATCGATGAGGATTTATTAGCATGCATAATTGCAGAACAAATGTACAACTCACAATTATTACTCCATTTTGCATTATATACTATTCGAATTTTATTTACATTTTCAAATGCTAAAATTTGAACCCTCTCTTAGTGTGTCCTTTGCAAACCGGTAAGATAAAATCCTCCTCTTTTTGAGCTTTTAGTTGATTTCTTCTTTTTTCCTCTTTAAGCCCAAATGAACTTCGAACCTAGTAGTAGCAATGTTTTGAAACTCGGATAGTTATTGAATCGGTGAAACATTCAGATCAAAGTTCAACTGGTTGGACCAGTTCAACTCTGGTCAATGAATTTTTTAAAAAATAACTTATATAAATATATACGCACAAAATAAGACATGCATTGGACTAATTTGGGTCTTTATATGATGAAAAGTTTAATATTTTTTCAAAAAACCTGGATTTTCACAAATAAATTTTTAATTATAAGTTAAAATAAATAAATTTCATCTTAATCTCAATTGTATCTATCAAAAAATTAATTTTAAATCCAACCCAAAAGTACCATAATATCCTGAAATTATAAAAAATTCACATCTATGGGAATTAGACATTGTAAGTTTAAATTTTAATTCATGTTTTATAGATTTAGAGATTGCAACTTAAAAAAAAAAAGTTTGAAATTTAGACGAAGTCAAAAAAATAGAAAATAGAGATACAAACTCAATAAGAGGCAAAAAATGAGAAGAAAATGAGTGGATGTTGCATTTAATAATTAGTTTTTAGAGTTAAGGAAAACCTATTCTTTTTTTTTTCAATTTAATAGATAAAAATTAAAAATCGCTGGTTCAACGGTTCAATCCGATTTTTAAATCCAATCAACCCAAAATATGAATCGGATCAAAACTATGACCGATTCGCAGTCCAATCAATCGAATCGGCCGGTCTGGTTCGATTTTCAAAACAATGAGTAGAATATAGGAAACAACCTGCCAATCCGACTACAATGGAGCTGCTGATGGGGCCTCGCAAGTATTATTTCTTACAAGTTTACTCTTGGGCGCAAGTCAGTTGAAAGATGTTATAACAAAAATTTTAATATGGCGTAATTAAATTAAAATTTAATCTAACAAAAATCGAAATTACTATTTCAATCCGAAATGGAGTAAATAGAACCTGTGAGACCCCCCCTGGATCCCAGCCGAGCCACCCTTGAGACCAATTTAGTTTTCAAAATGACTAACCAATTAAACATGCACCAATTTTGACCCTTCTAATTATTGATTCTTTAAGTTTGTACTCGAGATCTTTTAACTCTCTATATTTCCCTGGGAAGTATCTTGGAAGAGGAATTTTTGTTCTATTTAGTTGGTTTAAGTTATAGCTATTGGGATACAATGCCAACCTTTTATAGATGGAACAGATTACTCCAATCCAAGGCACATCCAAAAAAAAAAAAAAAACAAAAACTACTTAAAATCTCCAAATCAAGAAACCCAATGAGAGCAAAGAATTGTATATCCTAAAAAGGTCTCAGCCAAGAAACTCTTAATATTTCACCTTCTATTCACTCTTCTCCATCCCATAAACTATTTGTGGCATACATAAAATTACTTAACTTTAATGGGATGATACAAAATTGCTAAACAAAGAATATAAAATTAAACTCTAGCATCCATCCAATTAAGCTGAAAACCTCACTAATTACTAGAACAATCTGTGGGCTTGAAGGAAATAATCTTGTTTACTAAGTCGTATCCCACCTTCACATTCATTTGTGCAACATTCCCAAACACAGGAAAATCTGTACTTGGGATAGATGCCAAGCACACTGAAGTATCAGAAGAAGCACATCAGTTTCATTCACTGAACCGTAGCACAAGTCAAAAGATCTCGTTGGATCTGGCACGGTTTTGTTTCCCATTTCTGCTACAAAAGATGATCTTAACCCATAGTAATAATCCACTGGAAGAAATGTTAATGCAGTCCCCGAGTCTATGATAATATTGCCTTGTCGAGAAGTATTTGAAGGATAATTAGGAAAGTTGATTGTTGTGATATTCTGTTACTGTTCACGTGAGTTCTATATATAATAACTGCGTCTCTATTGTAAAGTTTTATAAGTAATTCACGTAGAATTACATCTCGTTCAAAAAAAGTTGCACTGATTTGTGTCCCTGGTCCGAATGCAGGATCCTCAACCCAACGGACTAATGTAATTACCTGACAATTTGGGTCCAAATACTACCAAATTAAACACACATGGTCTTTCTGTCTTGTCACCTCTTACTGGACAAAAAGATTTTAATTCTGTGGCTAATCTAAGCAGTATCATGAATCCAATGAACAAACCAGAACTCCGAAAACTTGGATACAAAAAACACGAACAAGGTATCCATCCATTGTTACAGGAAAAAAAAAATTCTTAGTATTCAACCAGCAGCGTCAGAAAAAGCATACCATTCATAGAACTTTCAAAACCATGATTTAGAATTCTATTCTATTAATATTGGAGTTGCCGCAGTCTCACCATTCACTTGTGCCTGCAGTTCACTGGGGAAGTCACCTCGAATTATTTGAACTTTAAAGCTCACCTTCTCATCACTGCTCTCCATTAATTCCCAGAAAATCGCGTCTCCAACTTTCAGACCATTGTCACTAGCAAACCGTTTCCAAGATTGTACTTCGAAACGTAATTTTTGGCTGCCTCCCAAGAACGTCATCTCCCAAGATTTTCCACGACAAGTGACAACAGCAGGAACTGTTTTAGATGGAAGATCAGACCGCAGTCTGCTAGGAAACACCTACAATATTCAGAATCACAAACGCATAAAGATATTCATTAAACTCATGGTTGCTACCTTGTACAGCCACAACCAGTTTGTGCACAGAAAATAAGTCCATACGACCTGATTAAACTTACTTGGTTGAGGTTAATTTGAATATCTAGTTACATTACTTACCATGTGACATAGTTTATTAACATGTGAGAATGAAACAACATGATGGTAAAATGGTTCTTCAGAAAGTGGCGAAAGCTCATCATCAACCAGACTTTGGTCCAACCCATCATTGTCATGGTGGAGTTCAATATCTTTTGCCTCTGAATCCTGTACATTTACATCAATAACTTCTCCATCGGCTGTATGTGCGGAGGAATCCACCTAATATGAGTGATCCACAAGTTTAAAGGACAAAATATATATAAAGCTGTCTTGATTCATGTAAAGAAACAATATAAGTGAATATTGATAAAAATGAGTTCATGTATACTATAATAACTTCATGTGCACAACATGGATGGTTGCTGTGAAAGAAGAACTTCACAATACGGGTGCAAACCGTCTATAAACCGAACCATAAAAGATATCATTTACTTGTTTTAGATTAGTCAAAATCCGCTTTGACTGTTAGACAATGTCCGCATGCAAAATGGATTCTAGTTTTAGTGCCATTGATAGTCAGAAGCATTCTTCCACATATATTGCCAACAAGCAGGAGAAGTAACAACAGAAATTGACCAGAAGGAGCAAAATAATTTTCTGATGGCAATAATCACATTCCATGCTATATATAACGAACTGAATGCTTGGAAAAGCAAAGCGAAACGAAGTATAAAGAAAATGTATATTAGGAGAAATTGAAAAACATCTTACATGGCACTGTGGAATAAATAAAATCTTTGTATTTCAAATGAAAAACTCATACTCAAAAAAGGAATACAGAGCAACAACTTTTTAACTACAAGTTATAGCTTTCAGTACTATTTAACCAAGGTTTAACTAAATGATCAAAGCATAATACATTGTACTTATGAAATCATATCCTAGTGAAGAGATACCTTAAGACACCCTTATGAACAAAATCATGCACTTATTTACATCTTTTTCCAAAAGATATTGAAACTAAGAGCAAACAGCTAGGCATAAAGATGTGCAGTTTGAGGTCTGTAGATGCATTCATGTAAGCACTTAACGCAGGTACTAATCAAGAAGCTTATCTCTTAACTCCAAATCTCTACAAACTATGCACATATGCAAAATATTAAATTGAAATAAACAGCCCTTAAAGCTTTAGATGAACCACCTTCTCGTTTGATTCCATTTTGCCCTCCTCAGACATTGCTTGCCTAGTAGCCTACCTGGTAGATATTCACAAGAAATTAACGAATAAATCAATGAAAGAACTGAAGTTATTCTTAATTTGAATGATAATGCAGATCATGTTATTCAGTTTCCAAAGCAAAGTAGAACTCTCAACACCGATAGATGTTTCTGGTCATGGACACCAGTCACATTATAAAAATTGTTTGTGATAAGAGGGAAAAAAAGAAGAAGAAGAAGACCATTTTGACTCCATCTACATCAACATAAGGCACCAAGATCTAAAAAAATAAATATTCTAAATCACAAATAAATTCTAGTAATCAGATTAATCAATATTTTTCACGTTCTCCAAAACCTTTAGTTAATTCCTAGTACCAAAAGGAGACAGCTTCTATTTATGATCCTTGAACTGTGGAACTATAGATCCACCATATCTGATTCCCTGGAAATTAAAGTTTTAACATCTATTAGAGTATTACTATCAATTTAAGACATTTGAGCTCTACCAGACAAAAACAAAGCATGGCTACAACCATCAAATAGTAACTGACTGCCCTTTCAGTTTCCATTTTTTATTTTCCCCATTTTACAACCAATCAACACCATTATGCCCCAGAAATTATCGCAAAACTCGTGGCTGCAGCAATGTTCAAAAGAAGCTAACAATCAAGTTACATATGCAGTGAACTACAGATGCAGAACAATTTGAAGAAATGACCTTAAATTAGCATATAATACATGAATAAGTAATATTCAGCAATTAGTACTTCAATTCAGAAAAAATTATTTTGATGAATTGACCATCCAACAAACACAGATCAAATCCATAAAGCAACAATCCTTTCTACTTAGATCCTTCTGTTTGTGATTTTTTGTTTTTCTTTTTAAGATGAATAAGTCGGCTGCATACCTTAGCTTATGTAGTCTGCTGTGCCGCCTAATATTTCAACGCTTATCTTAGTCATTCTTGTGGTCTCTTGGTATTTATAGTTCTTTTCTGGCTGCCACAAAATTTTGTCAATTTACCTTTCCATATAAGGCTCTTGTCATGAAATATGTTACATGGCCTCATCCTCAACCGTAAATTAATTCCTACACTTAAAACAAAAGTACTTACTTTTCCAAGCTTAATTACATAATGCGTGCATCGACATACATAAGCTTAACTAAGTTGCTTCTAAGAAAACTCCTAAATTAACATTGTCAATTAAAGAATACAAAAGCAGCTTTTTCTTGTATACATAATCATATCTTGTGTATCCAGGACTTTCAAACACTAAAGTCAGAATATGACTTAAGGCTTTTTTTTCCCCTTAAGATGGCACTGTACCATTTTCATATTTATAGTCGATACAACCACTTTAGCTATATATTATCCAATTTGAATTAGCCAGTTGCAGTGAAAATTAATAAGTTGATGATAAGATTCATTTATGTATGCAAAATGACACATGCTTGACATGTTAGAATTTGCTTAGTGCCTCGGTAGTTACCCGAAATAAGTTTAAAAAGTTGGAACAAGCTGAGGATCTATCAGAAGTTCTCCTGATGTGCCAAAAGTAGATTGATATGTATGAACTCTGGGGTGAAAAACCAGGGCCAAAAGGAACCAATTAGCATTTCAAATAGTATCTCACAATGACTGACAACACTAAGTAGAAGGGAGTTTGGTGCATTTTTAGATACCTGAAGAAATATCTAGAAACTTATAAGGTCTAACGAGGCTAATCCAGGCTTTCCATATCTACCTGTCCACATTCCCTCTACCCTTGGCACACATTTTCCCCCAATCCTAGTAATTAGTAGTTCAAATTTAATTGAGACATATGGTTAAGTGTAATCGATACACAAGTAAGTATTTAAGCAATCAATACATTTCATAGATTAAAGGAGGGTAACCTACTCCACTAGTCCTTAAACTTTTAAGCAAAACTTTGCATAGTCCCTAAACTCAAATCCTCTAACCAAATACGTGGAAAGCAAATTCCCTTCTAACTTTTCAAAAGTCATGTGCTAGTCTCAATTTTGTGATGATTGAACAAATCTGTCATTCACGACGATTGATGAAGGATTTCTCGAAAAGTTAAGAAAAAAAACTTACAGTACTTGGATAATATGTTTAAGGTCCGTTGGATTGTAAAAAGGATCAACATTGCTTAGGCTATCAAAGAGAAATCAGCTAAAGTAAAATTTTAACCAAAGAGTCGGTGTTACAAGATTATTCTCGCCCCTAAATTTCTAACTATTGGCATTACAACTTGCAAGGTCTAGTATGCACATTTGCTTGATAGAGAATTCATAGATGAATTTTCCACTGAGCATCCTCATAAATTGTCTGCAGGAGTAATATGATCAACCCACATTTACTGTTTGCACAAACATTTAAATAGACATCAGGAGGCCAATCTTGTGCTCTAAACACTACAACAATTGAAGAACAATTCCTTGAAAAGTTAAGAAAACTTACAGTACTTGGAAAATATGTTGCAGGTCCCTTGGATTGTGAAAAGCTCAACAGTTAAGCTATCAAAGACAAATCAGGTAAAGTAAAACTTACTGAATTGTCGGTATTACTAAATTATCTCGCCCTGAAATTCAATGAAGTGGTGTTACAACTTACAAGGTCTAGAATGCAAATATGCTTGATGGAGAATTTATAGAGGAATTTTCCCTGGGGAGCCTCATAAATTGTCTACTGGAGTAATATGACCAACCCACGTTTGCTGTTTGCACAAACATTTACACGGTCATCAGGAGGCCAATCTTGTTAGCACCAAACACTACGACCTCACACGAAAAAGAAATTTAAACCAGATAGAACTTGCAGCTTTTGACGAATCACTATTTTCATCAATTTAGCACTATAACTAACTGATTGTTTTTTGGTAGCCTTCCCCTGACCTTTTCGAATTGGACCAAAAAAAAAAACTTTACGGGCGAACAAACTTTTGTCAGTACTAAATTTCCCAGGATAAGACGAAATCTTCCGAGGTACCCACTGTCAATCATGGGTTTTACTTTTTTCCTATTATTATTCCATTCTAGCGTCCCCGTGGGGGAAAAACACCATAACGGGTCCAATTACATGCACACTGCTCTCTAAGATCTTGAAAATTGCTGGCAGATGTTCACAAATGATTACTGTGGATTACTCTGTAAATTTCACAACGTTTACATACTGTAACTACAAACTTCCCCTCAATTAGGATTCCAGGAATGACCAAGTTTGATGCCACTAAAAAAAAAAAAACACCACTGTTCTTTTTTCCCCAAAAATATATTCTTCCAAGCCATCACACAAAATGCATGATTACAATCACATGGTTTAAGCTAATGCAGACGCTTAAAGTTACTATCTTCAGGACAGACGGGAGGAAATGAGGATTTTCCAACATAAAGCACAATTCCAAATAATCACTCAGAACAGCAACACTTCAAATTCAAGAAAAACTTCTATTGGGACTCACCACTGAACAAATTGATTAAAACCCATACATCAATACTACTTTTTTTCTCTTATTCAAAATATTGAAGATCAAAGAAGTTCATGGCTTAATTACCTTTTGTTGCAGAAAGCAAGCACTTCTTTTTCGTTGCCCCGATCGATCCCGCTCTTTCTATTTCTCCAGCATACCCATGGAATTATTTTTTTTTCTCTTCAAAATTTTCCTTTCAAAATAAGTCTCTTCCCGGCATTACCCAGCGTCTAATACTGTCGCTTGTGCCTCGAGAGTTTTCAACTCTTTGGTAGGCAACAATGAAAAACCAAATACGAGAAAGAAAGCGGGTTTTAGACCGTGGACAGCCCAATCAATCACTTTAGCATTCAATCTTGTTTCATTGATTTTTCAGCCACTTCAATTGTTCTTGGCGCCAAGGAAATTAGTGGTTTGACGTTATGAAGCCTTGTGAATATGTTTGGGACACTTGAGATTCGGTTAAACGGCTGATACTGCCTGCTCTATGACTTTGAAAAAAAAATTATAATATAAAGACGCTTTTTATATCAAGGGATAATTTCAAAAACCCCGCATGAGGTCTCTAACAATTGCAGGAAGCTTCCCTTAGGTTTCAAAAATTACACTCGCCTCCCTTCCTTTCACCATTAATGCTTCAAAATAGGCCCAATAGGCTACCAATTCCTTCAAATATCTTACAATACCCTTTTTGTCAAAAAGATAAAAAGGAATAATAAAAAGAGCTTTGTTGATTGTCTTTCTTCCAACACCAAAGCCAACAAGCTTTTTCTGCCAAAAATAAAAGTTTAAAAAAAATTCAACTATGATGATTGCCTTCTTCCAAACAACGCCACCACAAAAGCCATACAAACAGCCCTATTTAAATCAAAATAAATTCCAATAATTCTAGCACTCAAAATACTAAAATCTAATTTATGTCCAGTAGCCTCAACCCTTACATTTACTACACAAGTCAATTAAATCCGTCACTTAGTGCTAAACTGGATAAAACTCAACCTCAAATTTTATCCAAAACTAACACTTCATCAATAATTAATAGCATAACTCTTTTGTCTTCCTCTCTTTGCAGCCTCCTTTATTTTTTTTTCAACCGCCCTTTTTTAAAGCTCATCCATCCCTCAATTTTTTGACTTTTGACATCACTAAGTTTTATCACCGATAATCAACCAACATTTGATAAGATAAATAAACGCAGAAAAATCAAACCCATTACACTTAGAATTAAAAAGATAAAAAGGATGAACCTAATCATATTTGCAAAAAAAGAAATGAGAATAGAGATTAAAAAAAAAAAGAAGAGGAAGGAGGGAAGGAGGGAGATAAATATGGGCAAGGGATGATAGATAGAATTGGAGTAAGAATATTAGGCAGAGAGGAATGGATGGTAAGAATTTAGCAAAAAAGGAAATGGAAGAAAAAGTAAGGCAAAAAGGAGGAAGTGTGTCTGTTTGTGTGTGTGTGTGTGAGAGAGAGAGAGAGAGAGAGATAAAATAAGTCAATTATGGTTTTTCTTGGAATTTCTGAAATTTTCCAACAAAAAATGTCATTAGGTATCCTACATAAGGGTAGTAGAGTACTTTTGCAGCAATAGGGGAGGTATGTATAATTTTGAAATATTAAGGGACTTTGTGAAATTGTTAGAAACTTCAGGGAAGGTTTCTGAAATTATCCCTTTTATCAACCAATAAAAGGAGCTAAAGTGGGGTTGTTTCAATGTATTTACGTCTTGGACCCAAGCTTCAATATTGTTCGAACTTTGAGTAGTTAGTTAGCATAAACAGTCAAATTTCAACATGTTCTTTCTTTAAGCATACTTAGTTAATAGCCTAAGTGACTTAGCAAGTCTTTCAAGGGTTAAAACCATGAAACAGTGTGTGTTCCAAGACCTAATTTAGCTTATAAGGCTTAGAATCCTTTTCAAGTCCGAAAACAAAAAAACAAGGAATAATGGACAAATCACACAAACGTCCCTCTAATATCAAATGCATACTTTTTTTTCACTATTCTAGAAAAAAAAAAAAGAATTTCAATAACAAACTTGGCTTTAGTAAGTTAGACACTAAAAATGAATTTACAATTTTCTTGGACGTAAGTCGGATGTTCAATATCCCCGTCTACAATTAAAAGAATTTCAAAAGGTACATAATATAATAAGTAGTGCACCTTTGTAGTTTAGATTGGCGGTGTCCCTTTAATCCCTTATATAGCCTAATTGGATCTTTCGTAGAATGGGATAAGTTATAGACATTGTCATGTAAAAACAAAAATAAAGAAAAAGAAATTCAAGAGTTTACTCCAAAGTTTTCAGCCTGACCATTTCTACCTTACATAACATATAATGGTTATAAGAAAACACACACACACGCACAAAAGTAGAAAAGCTTGGAAACATATTACACATAAATACCTTTCTCCAATAATAATATTAGCAAGGTGGCGATCCACTATTAAGAGTTAAGACAAACCTTTTCTCTGATCTTTTCAAGGTGGTGATCAACTATGAAAGGTGTGTGCATGCTAAGACCTTGAATACTAGCACTACTGCTTTCTATCCTCCTTTTTCTCTCCTTCAACTCATCTGCTATGCTACCCAACCAGCCCCAAGGGATGGGAACAGTGTGGGGAGCTTGATTAGTCAATGCATCAGGGAGAAGGCAGGGTGGTGGTACTTAGTGCCGGGTTGGGGAGGAGTCGAGGACAAGGCAGTGGGAATGATGATTTCAGCAAATGAATCCTCTGAAGATATGAAGATGATTCGTGACGGAAGGAGGGAAATGACGTGTGGCAGGCTGGTCATACGTGGTAACAATCACCTTGACCGGATCATTTGTACAGGACAAAACAGTTTGTCTATCGCGGGGAAAAATGTAGATTCCCCGGATTAAGGGTTAGATAGTTAGGTTCCGGATTTATTTCAAGAGTTGTCGGCTTTTGAAATTAAAATTCGAAATTAAGTTTAATTAAACAATTTTTTGCTTCTGTAAGAAAAGGAACAAGGGGTAAAATGTGGATTCGGGACATTGGAGTTTCCGGCCTCAATTGTATTGTAAAACACATGCACTAGTACAGTTTTTTTCTCCCAATAGAAGAGGGCGATGAAACTTAAGAAATGAGAAGAGGGCCGAAGATTTACATTCAAAGATCTGAAGTTTAATCACTAAATCAAGATCTTTTCGGCCACTATTACAATAAAATATAAGTATTAATATGATAAAGATAAATGGTAAGTTAGAAAAATATAATACATTTTGTCAGCTATTAAAAGTTGTGTTTCGCAATCAATTTTATTCATTTAAATTCAAATTAAACATTTTTTAACCATCACTTGCAAATCAGTGAAATTCAAGGGTCAGACGGGACAACCAATCAGACCGCGACTCAAAAATCGAATGACATCAACATAATCTCACAAATATAAACATAAGAATGTTAATTAGTTAATGCGTACAAATTCATGTAAATGTATACAACCATTATGAATTTGTCAGTTCATTTTTTTTCACACATATTATATAATTCAAAACCATAAAAAAGTAACTCCAATTTGATAGTGTTAAAACTTAATTCATAAGTTCGCTAGCTAGAACTAAATTATTGATGCATACTTAATAAATATAAAAATTACGCCACAAATTGATATAAGAAAATGTTTATGCAAGTATTTAAAAATATTTCAAAACGATAAAGGGTCAAGAGAGAATACTAAGAAAGTTTTGGTTGCAAAGTTCGTTCTTTTATTTCCTCTTCTAAGACAACTTGTCTATCTATTTCTTGTTGATGTTGTGTCAGTTGAAGAACACAAGCCATCTTCTGCGTCTATCCTACACATTTTCATTAATTAACGTCTACTTTTTTTCCTTTATTTTACTAACACAATACAAGATGTATCTTACTCTTTAATATTTTCCTCTTAAATTCTTATTTGTTCCTTTCAAGCCGTTTTCTGTTTATCTCCCTCTCTCTCTAGATTCTCCTTCCTTTTTTTTTTCCTTCTCTCCTCCTTAGATTCGAATTCAGATCTGGCAGTAGTGATTGTTTGAGACATGACATTGGGGTTAGACTTTGAAGAGCTTTAGGAAGAAGTTGAAAATAGAAAATTAAAAAAAAAAAGAGTCAGCAAAAAAGAATGAATAACTCAACTCTTATCGGTTGAACTGAATTTTTTTAATCAAACTTGACCAGATTTTGCCAAACGATTCTTGATTTGAGAGGTTCAAGTTTAAAAACATAGCTCAATGGTACGTCTCTTGCACTAATTCTCAACTCTACATGCCTCCATATTTAGATGTACAACGGTAGGGTCATATCCGGCATGTGATAAAAATATGAGGAGCCTATGTAACGGAAACATTATCATCACGTAATGAGGTGGCTCTCCTACGACGCCTACTTCCCTGATTCCTACCACGCATCTGCTTGGGTAGATACTCGATAGACATCTCGAAAGGTGTAGTGTGAGAGGCAAATGGACCAACATTCTGATGGTCAAAGGGTCCAACTACAGTTCGAATTCCCTAATTCAAGTATTGTAATGTCCTGAATACCTCTTCCCGTATCAAAGTAAGCCCGAGATGAGCACATGTGTGCTCCTTCACAAAAAGTGACAATTTTTCACATATTGTGTGTGCATCTTAAGGTCGTTTTAAGCTGTCAATTACATGGTAGTGAAACATTGTGGGATCGGCACCTAACATATCAAGTTGTTGGTTTACTTTTTCTTACTTTGTATTCCCTATTGTGTTTGATTGACCACAGTTTAATGGTTTGTTGCACATGTTTCTTTATTTCAAACACCATTGACAGGTGCCGAACCTGTACAATAATAAATACCTACTCGAGAAAAATACAGATTTTGTATATAGCGGTGAGTAGGGTCGAATCCACAGGGACTGGGGATAATTCGTTTCTTCTAGAGTTCAAAGTATGGGGGGTTTTGGATTAAATGCTAACTAAACAAATTAACTGCAGAAAATAATTAATTAAAAGAAATGATTGGGGAAACTCTAGCCAAGGATACACATCAGAAATGGTTCATGCACTGATCATTGATGCAGAAATAACTCCAACATTTAGCAATAGATTAGTTATAGTTGTCATGCACGCGATAAACAACCAACCCTTCCTTAATTTCTCGATAGCTAAGGTACGACCGTTAGCTATTTCTCTAACCCAAAAATAACCCTAGGTACGACCGTAGGATTTAATTTCTAGATTGCATTAATAATTAGAAAGGCCCAATCCTAACCAACAAACACGCTACGAGGGTTTGTTTAAATTAGATCATATGCTCCCCTGACATAAACCCAATTACGCCAGTTGCTACTGAAGTAGAGATAATGAACAATTACGGATTCAATTACCCCTATTTAACAAAAATAGCCTATATGAATAATTAATT